TTCTTCCTTCATCACCATAGGCTCTTGCGCAAATGTTATTTCATTAAATTCTTCTGTATCTGCCAATTCCTTTCGATACAATGACTCAGTATATTTCTTCCATCTTCTTTTAATACCTCCTGGATCAGTTAATATTCTTCCTAAAGCGTCCTTGATTATAGCATTTGAATTTAACATATGAATTTGTATGAATATAGCATATGGATTTGTTCTTCAGTTCCTTGAGCTTGAGAAATACTGAACAAGTTCGGCCCTTTTGATTTTCCGATTCTAGCTCCTCACACATTTCATTGTAGTATTTTGCTTTGTCATTCCGTGCCGCCTTTTGGAATCTTCTGTTCTGCTCTTTAGTATCTTGAATTCTTCCTTGTGCTCTGGCTTCTCTTTGCTCCAGTGCAGTCTTCAGAGTTTCTTCTGACATCCATTTTGGTCTTTTCTTCTTCTTCTGTCTTTGTAATGGCCGTTAGCACTCTTCCTGAATGATACACTTGCGATCCTCCCATAACTCATCTGGTCTTCGCTCATTAGTGTTCAAGGCCTCAAACCTGTTTCTGATGATTCTGAAATCCAGGTGGGATGAAATCAAAGTCATATTTTGGCTCCCGTGGGTTCGGTTTAATTTTCCTCACTTTCAGCTTGAACGTGTATATGAGTAGTTGGTGGTCTGTTCCACAATCAGCCCCTGGCCTAGTTTTCACAGCTGATATTGAGCTTCTCCAGCAGTTTTTTCTGCAAATGTAATCGATCTGATTCCTATGCATACCATCAGGTTAAATCCATGTGTATAACCTGCGTTTATGTTTCTTATAAAATGTATTTGCAATAAATAAGTCATTCATTGTACAAAATTCAATCATTCTATCTCCATTTCATTTCTGTCACCAAGCCCATATTTTCCAACTACTGATTCTTCTTCTCTGTTCCCAACTTTTGCTTTCCAGTCACCCATTATTATCAATGCATCTTGATTGCATGCTCAATCTCCAATTGTAAAAGTTGATAGAAATCATCTATTTCTTCTTCTTTGGCTCTGGTTGTTGGTGCATATGTCTGAATCATAGTGGTATTCACTGGACTTCCTTGTAAGCATATGGATATAATCCTATCACTCACAATGTTGTACTTCAAGACTGATCTAGAAATTACTTTTTTAACTATGAAAGCAACACCATTTTTCCTTATCTTTTCATCTCCGGAGTAATATATCATATGATCATCTGACTCAAAATGCCCAATGCCAGTCCGTCTCATCTCTCCAATGCCTAGCATGTCAATACTTATGCGTTCCATTTCTTTCTTAACAGTTTCTAATTTTCCTACATTCATGGTTCTCACATTCCATGTTCCAGTCACTAGTGTCTGCTTACAACTGTTCCTCTTCCTTTGTATTTCCATATTTGAAAGTTCTATCTATGTTGCCCTTTCTGTTAGTCTACGTGTGTTCTGTTGTACATAGGGTTTTCAGAGGCCTGCTATTTCAGAAGTGGATGGGCAATCCTTCTTCCTAGTCTGTCTTAATCTATTTTTTTAAGTAAAATTTTTATTTGAAACTGGCTTACATACAAAGTTGTATAAATTGTATTTCACACTGGATCTTTCCTATTTCCTTTAGCCACCCCTCCCTTCATCCATCAAATTGTGTGAACCTATGATTACCACCCCTACCCCCTCCCATCCTTACCCCTCTGCTCCCACTCTTCCCCTACACCATTTTCATAACAATGTTATTCAACATTGCAAGAACATGGAAATAATCCAGATGTCCAACCACAATTGAATAGATTGAGAAATTGTCTTACATTTACATGGTCAAATACTCTGCAGCATACAGGAGCAATGATTTTGTAAATCACTACCTAACTTGGGAGGGACTGGAGAGCATTATGCTATGTGAACTAACTCGGTCGCATAAGGACAAATACTGTTTAAGACCATATTGTAGACCATCGTTCAAGATTTTGCCCACAGAGTCTTTCAGCAATGAAGCTTAAGACATGAATTTGTTTTTGGTTCTTTCTTCCTTTTTGGTTTTCTAACTAGCTCTTTGCCTATTTTGTTATAATCTTTTGTTGTTGTTTTCTCAAGCTATCTTTTGACATCTTCAGTTTATATCTTTTACTTCAGCATTTCTTTCTTTTCTTTTGGCCTCTCTATGTTCTGGTGAAGTTTTTAATTTCTTCTGACATTCATGTTGTTTCTCTCTCTCCTATCTTTGTAATGACATTTTACTTTCTTCATGGATAATAGCCTTAATTTCTTAGTTGTTAGTGTTTAATGCGTCAAATCTTTTATTGAGATGGCTTTTAAATTCAAGTGGGATGGACAGAGTTGTATTTTGGCTTTGTCTGCAGGTCTCTAATACACTTTGAGTTGATTTTTGTGTGTGGTGTGAGAAGTGGATCCTGCTTCAGCTTTCTGCAGGTAGCAATCCAGTTTTGCCAGCACTATTTTTTTAAAAAAGTGAACTTTAGTCCACATTGTGATTTGTGCATATAAAAGCAAATCTAAAATCTTGATATATTTGTAAAAGTAAAAACATTGTCCTACTTTATACTTTATAAGTTTTGACTAGGGAATTAATACTTTTTTTTTTAATCTAATGTGTTGTCAAAGGGAGATCTGGTCCAAAAGGATTTGCACTGCTAACCTAAAGGTCATGCCTGTCTGGTGGTTCTAATCCAAAATGTGCTTCATGGGAGGAAGATGAACAGTCTCCTCCCATGCAAATTACAGTCCCAGAAATTAAATGAAAGATCAGCTATGAGTTGCTTCCAATTTGACAGAAATAAATTTTGAATTTTAATGTTTTTTTCATAATACATCATCATAAATCATGAATACTTTATTAAAAATAAATATTCATTCCTATTCAGAATATTTTAATGAGTTGAATAATGACCAATATAATTCTAGAAAGAGTATTTATTTTCTGGACAGCCAAAATTAGTTAAATTTTCTACACCTTACTTATAGCATTTCATTTAGAAATAAATAGCTTTTCCTGTCCTGTTTTCATATATAGGTTATTTATTTGGGAAGGACTCCAGAAGAAGCTTATAGAATATTGCTATTTGGAGATACATCCTATATTCCATTCAGGTAAATATAAGAATGATGTGATAGATTAATTTAATGAGGTTCCTTTCAGAGATTTTGATATATGTTTCTGAAAACAAAATACACGATAAGTAGTGTTTTAGGTTGAGTGCAAATAATTTCTTATATCAAAGTTTCTCAGTAGTAAAATTATTGACATTTTATTTTATGAAATTGTCCTACACATTGCACTACCTCAGGCTTCTAGCATCTTAGATGCCAGTAGTGCCTTGGGGAGGGGCTGTGTGCATGCTCGCATGCTCGCACATGCACACACACCCACACACACTCTTTCATTCACTACTATTTTTTTTAAATTTTCAAAAAATTTTTTGCATGTGTACTGTCAAAAATCAGATATGACTGGTATAGGAGGAGATTGCCCCTCCTTCTCCAGCAGAATATCTGGTGGATTCGAACCGTCTACCTCTGGAATTGCAATGCATTCACTACTATTTTTAAAACCAAATATATTTCCAAAAGTCTTATTTCTTGAGACACAAATTCCTGACTGAGAACCTCCAATTGACAGAAATAAAGTTTTATAATTAGCTAAGAATCCTGGGCTTATGATATTTAAAAGTTATGATACTACCACCAAGACGTGTTCCCAATGATGCGTTCATTTCAAAGGCAGAAACTACCCCCCTTTTCTTAGGGACAAAAATAGCAGAGCTTAAGACATTAAACACTGATGATTGAAGACCAGATGACTTCAAAGACATCATCCTTGAAGAGAGCAAAAGACCATTACAAAGACACGGGGGGGGGGGGGGGGAAGAGCCTGAACTCAGAAAGGACTTCCAATAGAGTGAGTGGTCCACCCCATTTATTGGACATGTTGAGCTGTCAGTTAATCAATAACATCATAAAGATAAGGACTAACAGCAACGTACACAGACAAAATAGAAATAAATGGCCAAGAAAATCATCATGTAATGTCAGGAAAGCAGCAGGTGGCTCCAAGCACTGAGAAACAAAACAAAGCAAAACAAGTTAAGCCTTTTCCAAAAAAAGCAGAGCATATAGCAGAACCATTGAATACCTCCAGTCAGGTAGACAGAAGATATATATTGATATGGAGGTAGTTGGACAGCTTTAGAAGAAGGTACAAATCTTGGAAGAAACTGGATTCCAGAAATAAAGGGAATACCCTAGACATGGAGAATCAGAATATATTTATGCAGTTATTTGAACAGCTACAGAAGAAGGTGCAAATAATGGAAGAAACAATAGACGCCATTAAGAAAGTGAATGCTCCAGAGACAGGAAGCCAGAAGAAATGTGTCAATGAGAAGGAACTTGCACAACTATGGAAAAGAATGCAAAAGATGGAATACAATATTAAAATTATAAATAAAGAGTACAAGAATTTTTAGAAATCACCACAAGACAGGGTACAGCCAACACAATGCTGGAAACAACAGAAATGCATGAAAATGCAATCCAGAATATTAAGACTGAAAAGGCAAAAGTACTCAACATGCTTGGAAGGACAAAGAAGCAGAACAGAAGAGTTAGAACAGTCAGTGAACTAGAAGACAAGAACCTCAGTGTAAACATACTAGAAGAAAAATCAGAAAGAAAACATTAGAATTATGTGGAATGACATCATAAGGAACAACATACGTATGATTGGAATTTTAGAATACAAAAGGGATGGGAAAATCACTGAGACAATTGTGGCAGAGATACTAGAAGAAAACTTCATAGGTATTATAAAAAAACAGAGAAATACAGATTTAAGAAGCTCAGCAGACACTAAATAGACTAAAAATGAAAAACATCAAGATATATCATAGTCATAAAATCAAGATATATCAAATTCATAAAAATAAAAAAGATAGAATCCTAAAGTCAGCATGAGAAAAACAGAGTCATTTACATAGGAGATACAATTAGGTTAAGTTCTGATTTCTCAGTAGAAAGCAGTAAAAAAAGAAGACAAGGGGTTAGCACATACAGAAAGTTGAAAGAAAACAATTGCCAACCAAGTATCCTGTACCCAGCAAAGCTGTCCATCTAATATGAAGGAGAAATTAGGTCATCTGAAGGAAAGAAGATATTTAAGGAATTTTTTAAAACAAGACCAACTCTGAAAGAAATTTTAAGGGAAATCTGTCACACAGAGATATCAAAAACAAGTGGATGGACCATAATAATCAGAAACAACAGAAAAAGAAACATGGCAAAATGTAAGTGATAAAACTTGGTCTACAAATAATTACACTTAATGTGAGTGGGCTAAATGCACCAATTAAGAGCAAAAGAGTAACAGAATTGATAAAAAAATCAAAGCACATCAATATGTTGTCTACAAAAGATATGTCTAAAAAATGAGGAAAAGGTAAACTAAAAATCAAAGTCTAGATGAAAATATTCCAATCAAATGACATCCACAAAAATGTAGAATACAACTCTCTGATAAAATAGACTTCAGATTGAAGGCCACCATTAAAGATAAAGAAGAACACTATATAATGAGTAAAGGCAAAATAGACCAAGAACACATACATCTGTGCATCAAAGATAGACCTGCAAAATACATGGAAAAAATGGTCAACAGAATTGAAGAAAGAAATAGGCAGCACCACAATAATGATAGAACTTAATGCTCTCACCAAAGGACAGGTCAACTCAAATTTAACAAAGATGCAGAAGACTTAAACTATATTGACAACTTGACTTATTGGATATATTCATGGTACTCGGTGTTATGTTTCATCAAGTCTCCTGCAACTCATAGTGACCCTGTGTACAACAGCTCTGAAGTCTGCCCTGTCCTGAGCCAGACTCACTGACTCTAACACACCTACCTTCATCACCACAGTAACTGTATCAATCTGTCTCATCCAGGGTCTTCCTCTCTTGTTCTGTCCCTCCCACCTTCTGAGCATGATGTCCTCCTTAGTTTCAACAAACAAAGTTGTGTCATCTATATAACTTGGTTGTTAATGGGTCTTCCTCCAATCCTGATGCCACATTCCTCCTCATAAAGCCCAGCCTTCCAAATTATTTGTTCCATATAGCGTCCTTGGATAGGGACATCATGCTTGGGAGGGTGGAGGGCAGGCGCAGGAGGGGAAGGCCCTCTGGGAGATGGATTGATTCGGTGACTGGGGCACTCGGGATGAGTGTGTCGGAGACAGTGAGATTGGCACAGGACAGAGCAGAGTTTAGAGCTGTTGTACATAGGGTCGCTATGAGTCGCAAGTTACTCAACGGCACATAACAACAACAACAACAACAACATAGACATTGAAAAGATATGGAGACAAGACACATCCCTGACACACTCCTTTCCTGATTTTGAACCATGCAGTGTTTCCTTGCTCTGTTCTGAGGGCAGTTTCGTATAGGTTTCACATAAGCGCAATCAAGTGTTCTGGGATTCTCTCTTTTCAGCGTTGACCACAGTTTGTTGTGATCCACACCCAAATAAAAGTCTGTTTACTTTCTTCTCAAGTTCACATGATACATTCTCCAGAATGTATCATTTATTAAGATACAAAGCAAGCTTCAACAAATTACAAAAACACAGAAATTATTTAGAGTTTCTTCTCAGATCACAGTGCCATAAAATGAGAAATTAACAACAAGAGGGCGAAGTTTATAAAACCACCCATGTGGACGCTGAATAACACCCTGTTAAATAACACCTGTAAAAACAAGATTGGATTACAGAAGAAATAAAAAGTGAAATTAAAAAGCTTCTCAAAATAAATAATAATGAAAATACAACATTCCATACCTCTAGGATGTATGTAAGGCAGTACTCAGGGGGCAGTTCATAACAATAGTAAACATATAAAAAAATAAGCAAAATTAATGATCAACCTCAGCATCTCCATCAACTAGAAAAGAACAATTTAACCCCACAGCCTCTAGGAGAAAGGAAATTAGGACAAAGCTGAAATCAATGAGATACAAAACAGAAAAACAGTTGAAACCATCAACAAGACCAGTGGCTTGTGTTTTGAAAGGGTCAATAAAGTTGACCATTGGCAAATAAACGTAATAAAAGAAGAAAAAAAAGACACAAATAGATCGAGTAAGGAATGATAGAGTTGATATTACAACAGAACTTGATTACATTAAACCTTTAATATCTGAATATTATGAAAAACTATATCTGATATGTTTGAAAACCTAGAGGAAGAGACAATGCCTTGAAACTCATGCCATACCTACGTTGACATGTACAGATGTGGAACACTTGAATAGATATATCACAAAAGACAAAATTAAGCAGATCATAAAAAGACCCTTCCCCTCCCCCCCCAAAAAAAGTCCTGGACCAGATGGCTTCACAGCTGAATTCTACCAAACATTCATAGACAGTCTTTCACCAATTATACTTAATTTATTTTTAAAAAATAGAAAAAGATGGAAAATTCCCAGTCATTCTATGAAGCAAACATAACCCTAATAGCAAAAGTAGGCAATATACTATGAAGCAAGCATAATCCTAATAGCAAAAGTAGGCAATTATATTGCCAAAAAAGAAAACTACAGACAAATATCTCTCATTAGTATATGCAGAAGGATGCCAAAATCCTTTATAAAATACTGGCTATTAGAATCCAACAGCATATAAAAAATAATTCATGATTAAGTGAGATTCATAATAGTTATGTAGAAATGGTTCAACATAAGGAAAACAATATATTTTGTCACATTAACAAAGCAAGGAACAAGAACCACATGATCCCAGCAGTTGATGCAGAAAAGGCCTTTGATAAAATTCAACAATAGCACATAAGTCAACATAACAATATAGCAAATAGATAAATTCTGCACGCAGCCTTCAGTATGGACTGAGGCTCAATGTCAGGAAGACAAAGATTCTCACCACTGGACCAATTGGATGGATGGCGAAGAGATTGAGATTGTTCACAGCTTCAGTTTGCTCGGCTCCACGGTCAACACTCTTGGCACCCGCAGGCAGAAAATAAAAAAAACGTATTGCGATGGGAAAGTCTGCTGTTAAGGACCTCTCTAAA